GAGGAGGAGTAAGGCGGGGGCTTGGGGGAGGAAAGCAGGAAGGAAGTTGTGAGCCTGTCTGGGGTTGAACTCAGCGGAACAAGTTTTTCTTTTCTTTTCTTTTTTTTTTTTTATTGCTTGGCAAGACCGAGGGAGGGAAACACTTTTTCAAAAAAAGTTTCCATTGTTGGCTAACAAGAAAAAAAAAAAGCCTTTTAATTTCTGCGGGTTAAAGATATACGATTCATTTTCCACCGCTCCATCAAGGCTTCCTCATAATGTCTAGCTTTATGAAACTACTTTTCAAAAAATGTTTTTAATAAAATTTTTGATTGTGCGTTCTAAAACAGAGCAGCTCCCGGGGAACTTTTAACAATTAAGACGGGCTAAAACTCTGTACAAATAAATGGTTTGTGTTCTTGCACACGAATATGCAAATCCGAAGACGATACCTTGTGGGCACCTTGCAGAGGTGCAGGTTTCAAGTGCATCACAGCAGTATTTTGGAAGACTGCTTGGGCTTTTAGCAGCTGCAGGTTCTGCAGTGCAATTGCTAAATGTGTAAACACGCCATTACATTGCTCACGTAGATACAAATGCACACGGCAATGGGAACATTCTCATACTTTTGCGTTTGTTATTTTATACTTATAAAAAAGTATAATAAAAAGAAAAGGCATAGTACTGGACCTAGGAGTGCCTGATCATTTTCTAGATCCCACTTACCTTGGGGACCTGCAGACTGAATATTTTCAAGATATTTCTCTTCTATCACTAGCAAAAAAGTAAGGAAGGAGCATCAGCCAACAATTAGTGGGCAGAGCATCCTACCACCTAGTTAAGCACTAACAAGTGTGTTTTGCATAATTCCCTAAACCTTAAACTACGGAATTTACTGGAAACAGGGAAAACACAGCTGCAAGGTTTAGGAGATTTAAAAATCCAAAGCCTGAATCAGTCCTTATCGCCTGATGAGCTACAATTCAGGTGGAAATTTTTACTTTGCTTGTAGCAAACAGATCTCTCACTTGTTTATGCAACAATACTGTGAAGTGAGCAAACCATTCTGCTCTGATCAGGAAAAGCTCACAGCAAACCTGAAGTCGAGAAAACTAGTTCTAGCCAAGAATTCCTGGGGACCAGACCCTGTTGAATCCTTCCTGATTGTGTAAGACATGCCATGAAGGGATCGAACCTCATCCGAGCCCCTCCCCTATGAAGCTAAATGAAGAGAGCTGAGCATTTACTCACGGGTCAGCCCAGGCTCTGGGCAGCTCCTGAGAGAAGCCAGCCCCTTCCTTGCCCCATTCCTTTGGGCAGGAAGAGGAGCTTGCCAATTCCTAGTGGATCAGGGGATGCCAACATCCAGGGCAGGGGTCATAGTGGAAGCCAGCAGAAGGACCTAGCAGTGCTTCTATTGTGCACAGAAACTTAGCTTCCACTCTGGGAAGCCTCCCCATCACCTCCAGGCCAGACACCATCAGCATTCTCTGGTTGAGAACTGGCTTTCTGAGTGTGCAGTCAGCCTCAGGAATTCTTGGTCCAAAGGCAGACAGCAGCAGTCAGGTGTGACTTGCGGATGGGATGGGTGCCTTTAACGCTGGTACAACGAGGTGACAATTCTATCAGTCTAAAACTCCGTGCCTTCGAGAGTAGCAATGGGTTGGGTTAAAGATGACCAAAACCTGTGTGTGGACGCCAGCAGGGTGTCTTACATCCTGAAGCAGGATCTTGTTGCCCTTTCATGATTTTAAATGAACATTAAAAATTTAGCATTTAATATTTGTTCCAGGCACATTAGGTATTCTAATGTTCTAGGCACATTATATTTTCATACATTTGTATCCTCATAACAACCATGTGAAGTAGGTATTATCGTGAGTCCTATTTTACAGAACTGAAGCAAAAAGACATAAGCAAATTGTCCACAAATTCCATAGCTGGTAATTGGCAAAAGCAGCACCTGAATCTGAGCATTCTAGGTTTAGAATCCATGTTTGTTTCTACTCTGTACATTGGTCTGCAGCTGTAGGGGCGATTTGCCTAACTTTAGGGTTGCCCTTGCCCAGTTTTTAAATGGAATTTTAAAGATCAAAGTTATAAGATTGCCTACTATGTAGAAAATACTATGGAGTTTCAAAAAATCTACTGGTACTAATAACTGGTTTTAGCAAGCACACTCTTTTTCTAGGGGTACCATAAGAAAAACCCTCCAACTGGTTGGTTTAAACAGCAGAAATGTATTTTCTCACAATTCCACAGGCTACAGATACAAGACTAAGGTGTCGGCAGTGCCATTCCCCTCTGAGGCTTCCCTCTGGCGTCACTCCCCAATGACTGTCTCCTCCCGGGTCCTTCACAAGGTGGCCCTGTGCATCTGTGCCATGGCCTCTGCGTCTTATAAGGATGCCAGAAATTGGAAATTTAAAACTAATAAAACACTTACAATAGCATCAAAAGCTTGGTGATGAATATAACAAAACCGTGTAGTATTTGGAAAGAAAAAACTACAAAACATCACTGAGCAAAATCAAAGAGCTAAGTAAATTGATTGATTATGTTCATGAATTGGAGGATTCTATTGTTAATTTGTGAATTTTCCCAAATTTATCTATACATTCAGTGACATCACAATTAATATCATAGCTGGGTTTAATTTTGTTTATTTTCATTTTTATTTCATAAAATTAATTGAGAAATGCATGTGATCTCAAATAGCTGAGGCAATTTTGAAAAAGAACAAAGTGAAAAGGCTAACTGTAACTGATGTTAAGATGTGTTATGAAGCTACAACGGTCAAGATAGTGTGGTGTTGACATAAAGTCAATCAAGGGGGCAGAATCCAGAATCCAGAAATACACATATATTAGAGCATTGATTTTTTACATAGGGGCAGAAAAATGGAGAAAGAAGTCTTTGACAGATAGTGCCATAACATTGACTGCCCAAATGTGAGAGAGAGGAGAGAGAGAAGGAGGAGGAAGGGAAAAGAACCTCAATGCACATCTTCTATCATATACAAGAATTAACTCAAAATGACTCAGATCTAAGTGTAAAACCATAAAACTTTCATTTAAAAAATAATAGAAAATCTGGGACCTTAGGGCAGACAACTATGTCTTAGAAAGGACACCAAAATGTATTGACTGCATCAACTTTTCCAAATTCTACTCTTTAAAAATATACCAAGAGAATAAAAGAGGCTAGTGGTATAGCCCTTGCCAAACACATGCAAGGCCCTGAGTTCTACTCCTGGGAGAAGAAAAAATGAAAAGACAAGCCACAAACTGGGAGCAAAATGTATGTAAAGTAAAATGTACATAGCAGCTTTTTTGAATTGGTAAAAAACTAGAAGGAACCCAAATGCCCATCACGCAGAGAAAGGATAAGCAATTTGTGCTAGTTCTACACACTGAAAAATGACTTGCCAATAAAAAGCAATCAAGTACTAATATACACACAA